CCTCCTCCTCCTCCAGTGGCAGCCCCACAGCGTCCCAAGTGGGTGCTCAGTCTTGTTTGGAAAACTTTAACTTCATAATCCCATTGACCTGAACTTAACCTCATTGCATAAGGCGCAGCATAACAATGATGTTGCAACAGCAGGTTTCATGGCAGCTGTAAGTCAACACAAAATAAACACAGGGATATTAAAGGTACAAAAGTGCCAGATGGAGTTAAATACAGAGGCTTTGGAAATGGCTTCAAAGTAAAGCCTTAACCCCTTAATCAATTAGATAAAACAAATAAACAAACAAACACAGAATCACTTAATTACAGAATAAACATGTCTGATAAAACTGACAATTATGGATAGATAAAAACAAAGTTTGTAGTCTTAGAACACAAATATCTCAGAGTAGGCCGTTTTTATTGTAAAAAAAAAAAAATCATGTCCTTTGGATAATATTTACATAAACCCACAGTGAACACCTTTTAAACACGTTTTCCAAAAAATGCGTGGGTGGTCTTACTTCAGGTGTGAAGGGTCCATTATTCAAGTTTTGGAGCCAAACTTGTTGCAGTTACTGCGTTTTTTTATTTTTTCCAAACTGGTTGTGTTTTCTGAGTGTGCGAGTGAAAATTGGTATTTAGGTCAACTCACTCTTAGCAGCTTGGCAGGATGACAAAAAAAAAAACACAAGTGTATTTCTTTAAAAAAAATCTATACGAATAAGTGTGCCTCAGACAAAATTCCAGTTTGTGATGTTTGGCCCTGGCACTGTGATCTTTACTGGGAGTTGGTGAATGTTTTTCTTTTTTTTTTCTTTTTAAACAACTGGGATGGGTTTAAAGAGCAGGATCACAATGGTTGCTTTGTGCTGTGCTCAGCCACTTAGGAGAGACAGAGGGGCTCTAAAGGGCTGCTACAAAAACCTCTGGGACAATACAAATCCAGATGCTAGCTTTATTTTAGAAATTTATGAGGTTTGTTCAAAATGGGTATCATTCATAACACATTGTCAGCTTTTTAATTATTAAATATGAGTGAGTAAATAAAAAACGTACAATACTGTATTATCACTGCTTTGTTATAGTAGGTGAATTTAGCCTTCTTGCAGAATGCAGAGTATTTATATCTCAGAAAGTGCTTCTCATTTATTTTCATGCTATCACTGCCATCTACAGATTAGCAGTGAAAGTTCAGATAGTTTGAGTGTTTTCCATTAACTTTCCCAGGGAGCATTTAAGTTTATTTTCCTCAATTACATACAGCAATTTAAAGCTACTTTGCACCCAAAAAAGCAAATTTTAACACCATACTACCCACATTTTTTGTGAATTTCTGTGAAATATATTAAGAGGCAAAAAAAAACATGAGTTATTTAAAGGCAATTTTGGCACATCAGATTATTTTGTGCAATATTTAAACCTGTAATATTTTTGGGAATTGTGTTAATTTCCCTTATACAACCATAAAACATGTTGAGAAATGTAATTATTTTCTTCTTTTTTTTTTTCCTGGCAACAGACAGCTAAAGATGTCATCATGTGAAGCCGAGGTCAGAATGTACTGCATGCAGATGTGGGAGAAAGCAGGCAGGTGAAACATTTTCCCCTAATAACTTACCTTCAGCATTGCAGACGAGCTGCGCCGTGGACACTGGCTCAACAATTTCAATAATTGGCTTTGCTGCGCTTGTTGCGGCCTTTTTCCTCCCAGTAATTACTTGTGTTCTCTGAGMTGATGAATTCAGACATTCTTTGTGGGGCTGCAAATAGTGGGAAGCTACCCATGGCTTGTTTGTCAGCATGGCAACTGAGGTGAGTATTTGTGTGTGCATTTGTTGGTTCTCATGTTATCTTGTTCCAGGCAGAGTGTGCTATTTGCTTTAGTAAAATCAGATTTAGCACATATGCATGTCAGGAAATRGTAATGCATTTTGTAGTAGGGAAAAAAAAATCCACTCAGCTATTATAGGGGTCGTGTTGCTGTCCTTTCTTTRTCCTCCAGCAGCTGATAAAACAAAGATGAAAGACGTTTTAGATAAAGAATCATGTCTTCCAAAGGTTCTGAGGCACAAAGTCGTGTGGTGCCCTTCTTTGATGTTGTCGTAGTAAATAAGRTCTCTCAAAAAGAAAAACCTTCACTTTTCACTTTACCCATCAACACATTTTTGTCCTTATTTGTTCTTCATACATCTGCTTCTTATTGTAAATCTATAATATTTTCTACTGGGTCAAATCATCATTAGGTCACCAGATCAGCTTTTCTTTCTATGCGCTGTGGTTTGTCTCCTCACTCGCTAAACAACTCTTTTTCAATTTATTGTTTGTGTCTATAAAGCCACCACTGTTTATGACAGCTGGAGAAGTGGAGTACTTAAAAGGTGACAAAGTATTTCTTAAACGCGTCTGTGTTAGCRACCCAAGCTATAATTTAACATATTGTCCTTCCCTGTTTCCTTTTACACCTCTTAGGTAGCAATTAGCTCCTTATCACTGGTACTCTGCACAGCTGGATGACCGACTCTCCAATGTGTCACTTCCTGCCTGTGGCCGAGACAGTTTAGTGTGGACCCTCTTGGAAAAGGCAGCACAGGGGGGGTTAACCTAGCAGCAGTCCTGTGCCAGAGGCTGGCAAGGCGAGAAGGCAGACATCTGCCGTTCCCCTGTGCTTAGGTCCTAATCTACCCAACTCTGCAGATGGCAGATTTCAACCTGCCCTCGCACCAACAAAATCATGCTGTGCCCATATTGTTTCATGGCTGGGCGGCATTCTATTTTCTACAGTATCTCACTGGAGACTTGTCTATGTGCCAAAAAGTGCTCAAAGGGAACTGTGCCCCCCCCCCCCCCACTGAGCTCAGGCCATGCAATGAAAAGTGGTTCTCCCCTTCCAGCTTAGCCCCTGAGTGACTCACACATGGTTTCAGTGAACATTCAACCTCAGAATATGATAAAGAGGTGTAGCACACAATCAAAGCTGCTTTGAAACATGAGGTCACACCTCTAGTGATGATACCATCAGCCTCAACCCCCCCGCCCCCCTCTTTTTAAGCTCCTCACCTGTGTATATGGGGTTGTGATGATTGGATTTATAACAAAACACAACTGCTGAACTACAGGAAGAGGTCACTTGAAGTGCAGGAAGGTTTTAATTTTATTTCATTGAATTGCACTGGGTAATCGATCTCAGAGTTGCTTCTGGTTGTGTGGGTTGGAGGGTGGGGTGTTTTATGTGTTTTTTAATTGCAAAATGTTTTATTTTATATTATTTTTATTCTGTTTTTGCTCTCTTATTTCTATGTTGTTGGATGTTATTTTGTTTTTTACTGTTTGATGGGACTACGGATGTAAATTAACCTTAGGCTAAATCTGGTGCAATGTATTAAATTATGTTTTCATTGCACACTGTCCCGAACAAATACAATCATTCATTCATTTAGACTTTTTTTTTTACTTGTTCATTTGCAGTGGAAGTTGATACTCTACAGCTGAGTATATAAAATCTTCAGTGCACAAAATAAACATTATTCTATTGTCCATTATTTATTTTTTTATTACTCAAACATGACACGAATGCTCTGCATTACCAATAAATTATTTACTAAAATACGCTGGAGACAACAACCTTGCACACAAAATAATTAACAAAACCTGTTTTGCAAATTAAAAAAATTCTGACACAAAATCTGCAAAGTAATTTCATCACAATTGCAACAATGATAACATTTATAGGAGTTTGACTAAAAGGTAAATAAGCCTTAGCTTTAAAACAACTCCTTCTTTTTAAGGTGTAGGACATCTCTCATTTGCTTGCAGAATGCTCGGCTTGCCTTTCCTTCAGTGTTTGCTGTGCCCATGGTAACAAAGCTCTTGTCATACAACCCCCCTCCCCACCCCCCCGACAGATGATCAGGTGAATCCTTCAACACAGTATCTTTTTGAGTACTCGTCCTTTTCAAAATAGATTTATTTACTTCACTGCATGTATATGACATTAGATAAAACAATGAACCAAAACCTTATTCATCAGGATAAATGGAGCCAAACTGGATGGAAGATCGAGCAGCAGTATGGAAACAAAGTGCTGYTGGGCAACTGGGCTGAAGACAGACTTCAGGTAGGCCTGTGATTACTTATTGTGCTGTTATGCACCATAGTGTTTTTGATGTAAAAGCCAAGTTCCCTTTTGTTGTGGAAATACAGATTATAGTTGTTAATGTTGAATTTGATGCATTACATAAGAGCATGTTTTTTTTTTCCGGACCTCATTTTCAGTGTTGTATAAAGTACCACAAAGTAATACTTGAGTAAAAGTACAAGTATCTTACCAAAAAATTACTTTGGTAAAAGTTAAAGTCTCCTTTAGGAATATTACTTGATTAAAAGTCTTAAAGTACCTGATACTTTTTGTACTTACATATTAAAAGTAAACGTGTTGAATTAAAATGAGCAGTTAATTTTCTGTAAGGA